ATGCTCTTTTAATCACCTGTAAAAAGAAGTATTCCATTACGAAGCATTAAACGTTTTTATGTTTTTCTACGTTTAACATAAAAAACGCGAAATATCATACCAGTACGTCTAAATTTCGGAGTTTTTACCCTATAGAGTCACAACTAGGGTCCTACTTGATACGAAACAGTGACTCTATAGAACTGGTACTAACGAGGAAACCGTCCCAAGTGATTAATCGTTTTACCTATGAAATTACTGTTCTTATATGTAATCGATAGTGTTGATTACGAATATAAAGTCCGTTATGGCCCAATTTCAGTTCCTAAGCCTGAGTTAAAAACCGGAATTCGGAGATCTGATCGTTTACATGTATGGGGGCTTCTCTTATGTCAAGTATTACTAGAAAAGTTCAAGGTAGCAACTTGTTCACCAATTTATTTTTAATGGTTAGAGCTCTAAACTATAAAAAATAGAGTGTGCCCGCTAGTGTGCATTCCCCCAAGTGTGCATTTCGAGTCCAAAGTGATCTGCAAATTGTCACTGTGTAATCTAGATTTTTATCTTGCGTTTCTCTATGGAAAAAAACGGAAGAATTAGTCGTCTCTTCGGTCTTTTTTCTCGTTCTGTCTGTGGAAGCTATATCTGTAATTCCAGTGTGTTACAGACACACTGAATAAGCCGTTTTTAGTGTAAAAAACAGTCCAACATGATGTGCACATTTAGTGTGGCCCGGGCACATTTTATTTTTTACAGTGTACATATATCTATCTGATTGAAACTTTCTACCTAATTTATAATGTGATATTTTTTAATATTATCTCATTAAAGATTTTATAATGCAAAAACAGCTTTTTAGTGAGTGTTTTTCTATCGTATATTAGTATGTTTTATTGTGAACCGGGTTTTGTGGACAACGCAATCTAACAACATTGATTGTGCCCAAATATTATCAAATGCTGAAAATCAAGCGAAAAAACGATAAAGTTGAATTGTTTTTTATGATAATAATTTGTTTTGAGAATAACAATTTACCAAAAGAACGAACTGGCACTAACATCGTCGTTAAAATCAAACAGAAACTCATTCTTATGGTATTTACCTTTGGAACCAACAAAAACTATCAGCGATTTAGAGAATTCATTCAAAAGAGTATAATGATACAGGGCAACCATCACCGGTGACTAAAAGTAATTTACTGTTTGATTTTAAATCAGTTCTGACTGTTATTAAACGAAGTTAACAAGTTCTACCAAGATTATATGTCTTTTTAACCATTCTTTTAAATAAAATCATTGATTGCACACTGCCTATTGCGTTTAAACTATGAATGTAGAGAAAAATATCGAACAAAGATCAAACACACGTTTACAATGATTATTTTTTATCAATTTATAATACGTCATGCTTTTTCTAAAGCGAGATATTTATCGACTAATATAATTAGAGTACTAGATTTCTTTTTCTTTTCGAATCGTTCGAACATTCTGTTATATAATACCATAATGCTGTTGGATGTCAATGAACCTATTTATTATTTATAAATATACGGTCAGAAATTGAATACAACGTTTGTAATCGAAACTAAGTGAGATGATGATATGCATTCTTCTCTACTAACAATTTCAGCAAGTATAATTGAATAAAATGGTTGTTAAGTTTGAATACTCTCCAAAAATAGACTTTAACGTTTGATTATAGAAATCTTGAGAAATCGGATAAGAATAACTTAACGAGTATGTTAAAAATTCCGTAAAATAGTAGAAAATTATTTTTATCTTATATCCGTCTTTCATTAGTAACTGCCATCACACAATGTATATTTTTCTCTTTTGCAATTAATAAAGTCAAGTACCTTTCAACTTTATGTTGCATGATTTTCTGTTTATTGCTAAATCACGACGAGATCTACTATGGAGATGACTATATTACTTATGCATGCAGTTCTAATTTATAATATGACAACATTAGGCGGTGAAGAAAATGAACATATGCCTTCATACTATCAAAAGATAATAATTTGCTTCAGCTGTAATATGAAAAGCTAGGCAGTATCGACTCTCAGAATCTAAAGGTGAAACTCCGACGCCACATCGTTAATTAGTAGAAGAAATATAATGCCAGTTAGAATGTGAGAACAGCATGGCTTAGTGATCAACTTATTCGTCACGTATTTCGAAGATACAGTGCTCGGACATCGGTACACGGTGGGCAATTTTCACTAGGCACGTGGTCTTTTGGCCTGCAAGCTAGAGAAAAACTTAAAAGCGTGTTTTTTATAGGTTATCTTGTGTGCTCTATCTAATGCAATGCTTTTCAAATTCTAAAAAAGGTTTTCCAGAGATTCGGTCTCCGGAAAACCACTTAGAAAACCTTTAAAAAATCTCAGAAACAATTGGATTGGATAGAGAATCAGCAACAACCTATACGAATAGTGTTTAGACGATTTCATCTGTCGATAATTTCAAATTTTAAAATGTCCCTATACATCTCTATACGCATATGCAAGAAACAAAGGAATCAACTAAATTCAAAAGTGTCCATACAAATACGGCTGAATTATACACCATTTGACGTAGTTTTTTTCGCTGATTCCAAGTATCTCGTTATTTTTTAATTTAAATGTTAATGAGCCCAGAAAAATCTAATTTATTTCAAAACCCTTGGGTTTTTGGAAAACCTATAACTCGGTCCAGGAGCGTTTGCGCTATCAGTATATATGTATGGTTAGCAGGTCTACCTTCGGTAAAAAATTCGTTGAATTTGAAGTTTCGGAAACAATCGGAAACCGATTACACTGAGCACACATTTTCGGAAAACACGTAGCAAAAAATAAAGCTATTTCTCTCGGTGATGGAAAAGCCAAAACAGAAGTTTTTTTTACGAATGGATAGAGCGAAATGCCTAGTTTTAGACTATGTAAAATTTCAATAAATATCGTCTATTCTTTGTCGCAAAATGATTTTCTATCTTAACTGCTCTGTTTTTCTAAAATAATTTCATCGTCGACTTTCCCGCTAGAAATAACATCTAGAAAAAAACTTGCAATGGCAAAGTTATAGAGCGTATGTCAAAGTATATGATGTGCTATTCAAATCTCGAAAAACCTCACTTTCGTTTTCTCACCTAAATATGACGTGATTGTCCGTTGTGCGGTACTGTCAAGTCCCACGTATACAATTTAGATATCTGTAAGTACTTAGAATCATCTATCTAATAACATACTCACTGCTTTGCGACGTACAATACGGTTCTTCTGTTTAGTCTTTATGACTTTCTGAAACAAACTAGTACCGTGGTCAATGAGTATGTATGGAAAACTTATAGCAATCAAGCGAAAGAACTCTACGTCATGTTCTTCTAGACAGAGCTGGATTTTATGACTAGTAACGAGATGGATGACCATGTCAGAAGCTTGTCAGCTGCAGAGAAGATATCGACGATTGATACTGATGCTTTTCAATACTCTGCAACAGTATCGGTAGTCACACGTGAGGTATTCTTCTTTCTTTCAGTCTGACTATTACTTACGTAAATTCTTCAATGTGCTTTTTTTCTCTTCTCTGTTGTTAATATCGGCGGTCCTCCTTTTAGCTAGAAAAGCATTGCGGGAATGTATTACGTTGGAGTTTGAAGAAAATCAATCACCAATGCGAAGATGTCGAAGCGCTTCTCGTCATGAGTTATTAGTTAATTGAACTGATAGGATAGAAAACTGTAATATTACTTCCTTGACTTTTATGAACAAACATTATAAGAAAAAACAAATGCTTTAATAGATCAGTGCTCTACCACAAAACCACCACTTGTCCCGTTATGTACTAGGCGTTTAATATATGTATTGTAACGTTGAAAATGCATGACAGCTTTTAGGGCTACGCCATTCAGGTACTCCTATTTTGATTTTGTTTCCAAATTAAGTTATAATCGCCATCATATAACGTTGTTGTTTTCGTCACCCTCACACACATGCAAAGAAAATTAATAGAAAAATCCTTTTCATTAAAACAACTTATGTTTTTTATCCTCGTTTTTTTGCTTGCAAAACTTGTCATGTCAAAATATGTTCGTATACGTCTTTAACACTCTTTTTCATTAGCTATGGTCTTTTCTTTCTTCTTCTCTCTTTTCGCCTCCATATTATCCATCTTATTTGACATCAAATAGAACAGATTAAAAGAAAGAACTCTAACAGCCTACATAACTAGTTGAACATACAAAGATCAATTTTGTTTTTTTCTCAAATGAACTATTGTCGTGTCATATTATTCAATTCAGTTTAATAATAATTCAAAACTTTTAATTTTTCTCTTTTGAAACAAAAGAACAAGACTCCTTATTATATTTTATTCTGTTTACAAAAGAAAAGAAGAAAAAACAAAGAACATAAATCTTGCTTGTCATCGACGAAATAAGAGAACGAGAAACAAACGTTGAACGTAAACGAGAGGAGAGAGAGAAAACTATGCGTAGGTTTAAGAAAAGTCTTTTTCGCTATGACGTCTTCTACTTTTTTCTATCTCGAAGATTAAATTTTCTCTACATAATTTGAATACAAAAAGATTTTTGTTTCCTTCCCATATACAAGTCCAAAAGGTTTTTGCATTTTAAAAAAAAATATAGTTCGATTTAGAATACTCTCAAATCACAAAGACATATACTCTGATACGTAAGTATGTTTAACACTTTTTCTTTCGTATAAGAAAGACATACTTTGTAGTCCCACTAAAACTAAACAATCTTTGCAAATATCAGATATAGACTATTTGGAAAATATGAATTACTCATTTAGCTACATAGCATAGAAAGAATACATCGTGTTTAAAAAATATATCAGTCTTATAATTAGTTTTAATAATAAATTAATCAGTCATGCAGTGTTTTTACCTTAGGGCATTAATCACCTATCACCTTCTTCTTAATCTATTGCCACTTTATAGAAAAACGCGTAGGTGTGAACATCTTTACATTTTCAATAAATATGTTCATCATGCTTTCACATACTTTACGTCTAGATCAAAATGAATCTTATATCGTTTTGTCTATTTGCAACTGTTTGTGGTTATACAATTGCTATACCAGTCAATAAAAGTAGGTGTCAAACTAGTAATCATGCTAACATTCTCCTACAAGGTATCTAATAATCAATAATCTAAATATTTAGCTGTAGATGAAAAAACAAAACAAAAAGCAACAGAAATTGCTGAACATCTTCTAAAAGAATTGGAACATGAAAAACAAAGTGAAGGATCATTACAACAATATCCATTATATTATGAGATAAATGATGAGCAATCAAAAGCAAAAGAACAAAGAAAAAATGATGATAACAAATTGGATAATGATAGTGGTGATGATGATGATAAGACAAAAAAGAATCAATTGATAAATAATAGACAACAACACGTGTCAAATGAAGTTTTAATTAACGGTGATGATGGTGATAACGACAACGATGATGATACGGTAGTGATGCCTTATATAGATCCACACTGGGCAAGAGAACAACTGGCAGAATATTATAGATATTATGAACCATTAGACGATGATGAAGATGACTTTTATTCAGTTAAATCACAAGTTGATCCAAGTGAATTAAAAATGTATGCCAAACAAGTTTTGGATTATTTGAAAGAACAACACAGTAAGTATAGTAAGAAGCAATCATGTGTCGTTTATCTCTCAACGTGAAAGATTGGTAATGTAAAACGTACTGTCGGATACGTTAATGAAGTAGACCTATATTAAAAGCTAGACGTTAAGATTTTTTTGTTTTCATCGTCTATTATACGCGTGACTATGTTAAATTTTGCTTGTAGAATATGAAGAACAGGAAGCAAATTCGAGACAAACACCATCTTCAGTCAACCGTGAATCATTAGTATCATCGTCAAACAGTATCATGGATGACAGTGTAATGCAAGCAGATGTTAACGATGATAATCACAAGAAAATGGCTGCTTCAATTCGACGACGAAGATCATTAAGATATTAGACACAATGGATATCCAGTTGTATTGTTCTTGTTTTTCTTGTTTTCATCTATTACGATCGCATCATAATGCAAAATAATTAAGTTGTCTTTTTTCTATGTTTGGCTTTTGGAGATCAAGTGAGACAGAATTCGAGCTATTCTGGTTTCGAACAAAAATAAAGCTTTTTAAAATGCTTGATATTTTTTACTCTGTCTAAAACTCTTAAAAACTGTATATATAGTTTAGTCTTATGTTCATCTCAGAAAAAGGTCTAAATCAATAAATTATTTATTTTTTTATAAATATTCTTTTATATACACTGCATTTACTAATTAAAATGGAATTCAACATTCGGAATATCTCTACAGAAAGAGAATACATGAATAAATAAAAGTATTATTATCGCAATTATATTACATTTCATTATTTATCTGCACTTCTGTACACGCGTATGATATCATCGACACGTGATCGACATACTGGACATGTAAATACAGCACTTTGTTGACGTAAGCGTAATCCACATGTATAACATACACATAGATGACCACATTTGTACAGTACTGTATCAGCACTTTTTTCTAAACAAACTGTACAATTTCCGGCTGAAACAGGAATGGATGGTGGCGGTTGAGGTAAAGAACAGTTTGTAAATACGCTCGCCACTTCCTGTTTTAATGTACGTTGAAATTCTATTTGCATATTGAGCATTGATTGCATCATACTTTGCATAGCATCCATGCGAGTTTCAAGTGTTTGTATCTGTGTCGTAGTGGTTGTCTAAAGAATAATTCGCCAATAGAAATATGCACAGATTTGTAATAAAAAAATCACAACTTACAATATTTTGTCGATTAAGTAACGGATTATCGGCATTTCTATTTGTATGTCGTGCAGGTCTATTTTCTTGTACTTCGTTGATTTGTTGCTGAGGACTTCCTTGTTGAAGACGATTCTGCGAATAAAAAGACTTTCGTAAGTAGACGAATCGGACTTAAGAAAAATAAAAAATTACCAAAACATTTCTCTCTAAATGCGATCTGAAGTCGGATTCCAGGGCACTTGTTACTAACTGACGATGAACAAGATCGCTAATCTCAACTACGAGAACTTCACGTTGTAATTGTGTAATGCGATCCCATGCTTCCATTTGACGTTCTTGCCTAAAATATTCAGAAATAAAATAAACATTTAAAGTAGAAAAGAAATGATAAAACATTACATGCAACCTATTTCTATCTTAAGGACTGCAAGAAAGTTCGTAATCCCCAGTTTATTTTGAAAATCTATTTCTACAACTGTGTATGTATATTATTCAGTACCTGATTAGATTTGTTGGCTGTTGATTTACAGGTAATAGTTGTTCTTCTGGAAGAGGTGGCGAAACGGTGAGAGGTGGGGGAGGTGGAATCACGGATGTCTGTTGTGTTAAAGGACGAAGAGGCGGTGCAACAGGTATACATCCAGATGGACGAACATTTTCTCGTGTAGAAGTTGGTGTGACAGATCGTCGTACAGCATTTTCGAGATCTTGACGAAATCCTGCACTTGCTAATATAGCTGAAACACATCGTTGACTACTCAAAGCATCGATATCATCCATATGTGCACTTCTGACAGATGGTCTTGTAGATAATCGAGGTTGTGTATTGTCATTTTGTAGATTAGTAAGAAAGGTTTCGATCCGTTCACGATTTGGTTGTCCGGTTACTGGTCTTTCACCAAGTCTTATTCGTCGTAGTTCAAACATAACTTCCATGCGTTGTCGTTCGATAAAACGTGTAAACGCATCTACTTCAGTTTCTAATGCTGATGTGGTAACTTGAACTGGAACTTCCTGCTTTTCCACAGCATTAACAAATTCTTGGTGACTACACGAACTACAACTTTCATCATCAGAATCATGATTTACCTCTTCATTTTCGACATTATCAAGAATACCATCTAAAAAACAGACAGCAAAACAGATGTTTCAAATACTATTTTGATCGCAGTTAACGCTTATTTTGTACCTTTGACTTGAGTTGATGGCAATTGATCAATTTCGTTGAAACCAGAGGCTATTAAATCATTATTATTATTTATTGAAGTATCCATAGTTGTTTTCTTGATTATGGAAATTATGGTGTGTTTAAAGCAACAGCTGAATTTCACGTCTTTTTGATTGCTTGTTATTGCACCATAGTTACTTTATTAGTCATCAATATTCGTCATATTTTTCATGATTTTATTGTCCTGTTTTCTTTTTGCCCTTTTGCCCTTCACTCTTCGTAAAAACCTTTACTGAAACAAAAATATATTCTAACGGTTAACCTGTTTTTTTCACATTTTTAAACACTTCAATACACCTTTTACCTTATTTGGATCGAAAAGAAATAAACCGTTGTCTACATATTAGTCACTGTTAAATGTAGGTGCGTCATTCATTACTTTTGACATATAGAGCAGGTCACGTATGAAATTGTGGCAAGTTTTTTTATCAGTACTATGGACTACTCTATGCTGACTTTAAATGGATAGTAAAGTTATTCGACACACACAGAATTAACATATTGAGCATTAGAAAAACTAAAAAAATATCATTCTTTGTTCACAGAATAATGTTTTGAACACCGAAAAGTTTAATTTATTAATCTTTTGTTCAAAATGACAATATTTTTAAAGAAAGACAATTTTTTTCTAGCCTAAGACAATTTCTTTTTTAGCCTACTAGTATAGTTCATACTGCTTTTGACAGTATCAAAGGTTTGTAACGGTATTTAAAAAGTTTTCTGAAACTCTTGAACAAATGATTTTTTATCATTCAAATAACATAACTAACAGGTATTCGTTCAGAAGATGGTCATTTGTGAAGCAAAAATCTCCGGTTAAAATGAAAGGAGTAGATGATGTTCCGAACAAAGACGATTTGAGTTCTGCTAATAATGCACTAGACACTGGCGCTACCATATTCCAAAAGCAACTTTCTTTTTTTTTGCCATTGAGCACCATTTAGAGAAATTTCTTTTCAGCAAAGAGTCAGAAACAGTTTGTTTTTTTCTAAGCTAAATCATATCGAAAATACAGGCGTCGAGAACATTCCAGTTAAATGTTAAAAAAAAGTGACGATGTTGTATCGCCATAACTATTTCATATTTTTCGTCTTTCTCTCGACGAAGATGTATTCCTGTCATGTAAAAACCCGCGATTGTGTATTCATAAAAAAGGTGATAAATGGGACATTAAAAACTATCAGCCGATTTTATTATTTTCAAAGGTTAGTCAACGAATTGAATAAAAGTCGTCATGGAATAGTAAAATTGTTACTATTACTGTCATTAAGCCACCAGATTTTCTCAACAACCAAACTCACTCAAATTTTCCATACATGCTGTCATAAATGCATTTCATACATGATCTTAACGTCAACTTTTCTCTATTCTTACGAGACGTTTTATAGAATCCGCAGATTTGTTATGAAAAATCTTTATTTCTTCATATGAAAAATGTTTTCAATCAAAACGAATAACATATTCGGAATCAGCTCATCGAACTACATCCGATTATATGAAGAAATAACAGATATTTTATCAACAATAGAAAATTTTGTCCATTGTAATTTTCAGAAATAAAATTTAATTTTCATTTTGAAAATGTTTATTTTATGTAACATAGAGCTTTGATACGGCTACAGAACAAAATTTTGACGAAAATATATTGATTTGCGAACAAAGTTCTGATGTTTGAATGCTATGCTAAAAATACAACGTCTAGTATGTACAGACAGACATATAAGACGATTGCAGATATTCTGATGTCTATGTCCTCAGCACAGGAGTATTGTAAATTGCATTGACATTTACTCGTTGGAGTTTAAAGTTTCTGAGCACTCGGCCGTTTTTGAAATAACATTGAAGAAAGAGAAGAGATAGATACATCCGATTTTCGCCATTCGATAGCCAAGGCCGGGGCACGTGATCCTATGGAAAGAAATACTAAGTGATCTCTTAATCGTTTTTTAGACAAGGCATCGGATTTCCTGAGATCCAAGGAGTGATATTCCTTGAATTGTGATAATCCTCCGTAAATGGGTATGGGAAACATAGGTTATCGGTCATGCTGAATCTCATGGTAATGTGTGTTTTCAAAAGAAAATTTCCAAAATCTGACAATAAGTTACATAAGGTGGAATAACTCAGTTTTGACTGTTTTCACGATATATTAAAAAATTTTATAACTCACTTAAAATCGATCAACTCTACGTCGAAACATCAAGATAAACTCTATTTTATCTATGCAATATTTTGAATTTCAAAATCAATGGAAAATACTTTAGTTTTGAAAAGATCTTCTAAAAATATTCCGATGTAAAAAGATGATTTTTATTAGTGTTTAAGAAAAGAATTCAATTATACAATTAAAATAGAGTTTATCTTGATGTTCTGACATAGTATGGATCATTTTTGCGTGAGTTATGAATGTTTTCATATTTCGTGAAAATAGCTAAAATTGGATTATTTTCACTGATACAAGCTTCATTTTTATTCGTTTAAATCGTAAATAAATCAAAAACTCGATACAGTTTATCTTGAAAAAAGGTCAAACTTGTGCATGTTCGCTGACCATTTTCGCAAATCTCAGTACCAAAATCTGGTGACAATTAATTTATAAATTTATCAGCCCACTTTTTCATTTTAGAATAATCAATTATTTTATTCTTTATTTGAATTTTAGAATTAATTGAGTATGATCAATCAATTATACTACTACAATATAATTTTAAAGCTTTGATAAAAGACTGATGTTGATTTAAAAACGGAACTTATCTTAATTTCTCATGAATACAATGCGCTCAATGTTTAACTAAAATTTTCTGTAGAATGAAGAAGAATATGACTCTATTTTTATCTTAAAATAAGATAAAAATAACTATCAATTGACAGTAAATGTTTATCATTATGGATCTGTAAAGAAGGTAAGGTTCTAAATTATTATTCAATTTTTCTAACGTTAAAAGTCGTTAATAACGTGTTAAATACTATTTATCTATTAACATTTTATTATTTATAGATTTCTGATATCTTAATTTAACAGCTATCAATTATTATTAGATACTATAACACAATTTATAACGTTGTCTATTTCGTTTTTTGATGATATTATTTGTGTCATTTTTTTTTTATACTTATCATAATATTTATTAATTTGTCACTTGCAGGTGCACATTTTATTTCCAGGTGTAATAATCATTAGGTTGTAATTACAATAGATATCTACCATAATTTATAACCATGAAATAAGACGGAACAAGGTAAAAGAATGGAAAAAAAACATTGATAGTCTCCTTTTTTATTTGTGTCTGAGGACATTTGAATTTACAATGTATACCTTGTTAACGAATAAAGATTATATATTTTACCATGAAATTTTTTATGGTAAGTAATAATATCAATGTAACAGTATTTAACAAGAAAAATGATATCGAATAATATATCGAACATTATTTAACATACATTATAACTGTAGTCTACATGTATTGTTATCATAATACTTATTAGCGATTTTCTATAAAAAATTTGAATCAAATAGAGTTGATATCTAACTCTAAATAAAATAAATTGTTCAATCAAGTCATTAATTTGAATACAATATTAACAAAAAATAAGTAAGATAAGAATATATCAAACGTTTTTATTATAAATAAAATAATTCTAGTTTTAAAAATATAGAGAAGAAAAAAGTGTTCAAAGTAATAATAAACATGTTTGACTGTATTTAATCCTTTGTCTCTGTTGATTAAAGAGATTTTTTACAAAAATTCATCTTATATTTACTAACGGACATTTTCAAAATGTTTATGTGTTTTCGTTACATAAACTTCTTGTCGTTTAAGTTCATTTGTAAAAAAAAAAGAGATTTTTCAAGAAATTGTTGAAATTTGAAGTCAAACTGGTATCATTTTTGTAGACATACACACGAACTGTATGTATACAGCAAATGTCTGTATTTTGACCCATTATTCTCTGATAAGAACAGAATTATAAGCAAAACAAAATTTTATTCGCTATTATCAAATTGTGGAGAATGAATATGCGATCAGATTTATTCACTCTATTGTTTGTTGAACTAGTCTAACTAGCTTTCTTATCTATGCGTATTTATTAATACTACACTGAGAAATTTATAGTCTTATAATCTCTGTTAAAGTCATTGACAAAATACTCTTTGAAAACAAAGCTTTGTGTGTACGAAATCTAAACGTATAGAAAAGTTCAGCTATTTCTCAACACTTCTAGGTTTCGTAGAAGAAAAGGTACGATACGAAACCATTTTAAATGTATTGAAACGATTGATCAGTGCATTTGCTTATTTCGATATGTTTTTTTCTCATTTTGGCTCGAAAAATTAAAAATCAAAATTTATAGAAGTTTTAGGTATTTTTTTAGGCTCAGTTTTCGTCGCCCTATACTATGAAATCACACCTGAGCTGTTGAAATGGTCTACTTGCCCAGAAAATTTTTAAAAATAAAAAGTGATAGAATTTATGCACTTAACGGGTTTCGTACCCCACCTTTTCTTCTATGAAACCTAAAAGGGATTTAGAAATGGTTTGCATTTCTTCACACCCTTTTAGGTTTCGCATACAAACCTTTTTTTTTAGACAGTAGTATAACCATTGAAATCGGTAGTTCATTATTGCCCTTGTATAGTAAAACGAGTGAGATTGTAGATGGTAACTTTCTTTTGAGTAAACGAATATATTGTTTTGTAGTGTCTTTCAATAGTTGACTATATTTAACTGCGACATTTTTCAACGGATCAACATCTCAAAACAAATATAAAAGTTTTTCCATTTTTCTGAAATATTTTAAAAAAACATTTTTTTCTACTTTCTTTTTTTATTTAACTTTTACTCAACAAAAAAAGAAAAATGACATACGAGGGTATTAAGTGTGATTGAAAGCATAATTGAGTATGTGTAGAACGAAGGTAATAATGCAGAAAAATAGAAGATCAAACAATCCATAGTAAATACCTGAAAATGTCATCAATTTTTATTGATTTCACAGACACAACGTATAAATTGCTGTAAAGTTATGTCTTCTTTCAATTACCTAACATAAAATTTATTTATTTTTTTTTTTTCAATTCATTAATCTTAATTTTTATTCTTTTGTTTCCTCCTTCACATTTCTAGAGTAATTATAGTAGTGTAATCCTTTTTCTTTTTCTATTGAATTTGATGAACACATTTGACCGGCACATTATATAATCTTAATTATAGAGTTCACGTTTTTGTTTTTTTTTCTAAAAGTAAAACGAGGAGAAGAATACTGGCACAACTGCTCTTCTGATGCTGCTGTTACTACTCCTCCTTTTTTCTCTTTTATGTAACAGTTGCTTTTTTTTTTTTTTACTTTTATTAGAAAAAATTTGTTTTCTCTCTTCTTTTTTTTACCACTATACACTTTTTTTTCCTTATTCTTTTAACAATAAAGTTTTTTTTTTTTTTTTATGAGGAACAACCTGTAATAGAAGCCGCAAAACCAATTGGTAAAAAAATATTCATCATATAGCATCGTATAAAAAAAAAATGCGTGTACAAACATCATAGTAAAATTTTGTTTTCTTCTTATTATAGTGAGTCTCCTTTCTTCTTGTTCTCTTTCTCTGTACAACGGTGGTGTATGTATTTGGAAAAAAAGTTGCAACAATAATTTCGAGTTGTGTATATGTTTGTTCTATTATTATCGGTAAGTTTTAAATTGAAATTGAAACTCTTCTATACAGACGCATAATTCAAACTTAAAAACAACAAAAAATAAAAAAGAAAGGTTATAAAAAAAAAGTAAAAAAGTTTAAAGTTCTGATAATGATGTCATTTCAAAATTCTGTTACATATTTGATCATCATAGTTATAGAGTCAGTCATCTAATGAATGTTAATATAAACATAAATATGTTACATATGGCTCTCTCTTACATTTATTTTTATGAAAATAGATGAAAAATATTGTTTTTATGTTTGAAAAATTTTCCGACTTTGATTCTAACAGAAGAAAAGAAGGATTCAAAAACATTTTTTTAAAATACAATCATCTCTTTCCCTTGGAAACCACATTATTGAACATAACTAACATCTTTCTCTTACATTAAAATAGATATGTTCTTATGTCAAATTATATCACTTCTTAGAAATTTAGTGTTAAATTAGCCATATCACGATGAGAAAACGTCACGACTAAAACGACTAAAAATATTTTATTTCTTCTCGATAGTAGATGATACACCATTTATAACTGTAAAATGACATTTTGTTTGCAAGTGAATATTGTGAAATGCGTGAGAAAAAATTCTCACTTGAGTATCGATGTGAACAAAAAATTTTTACATTTCTGATCATCTATAAAATGTTCATGAAAATTTTTTTATGCCATTTTTCTCGCGTGACCACAAATAAAAGTGGTGAACTATGTGGTTAAGATGTAATGTATTATAGACATTCACATACTTGTAAAAATATATCCACGCATGATCAGGAGTGAATTATAGAAAGTTTTTTGCGCGCGACCAATCCTTTGATATGTCAAGTATATGATCCTATTGTAAAAAAAAAAAAGAAGAATTTGATAAAATTTCTCTCTAAATTACATATATAGGATTTTTGAAATCTTTTTAATCCCTTATTTGTTATAAATTGTAAGTGTTTACACAGTAGGATTGTTATTTTCCTTTTTTCTTCATACAAATTCAAAAATAAAGAAGACATATACGAATCGTCCTCGGAAATTTTACTGATGAAGAGCGTAATGTATACGTAATCGAAACTGTTGTACAAGCTATTTAAACTAGTAAACAAGTGTTTATAATGTTCTAAAATTTTTTTACTTTTTTGTTATTTTATGCAAATAATCAATTTTATACAAGAGTTAAATACGAAATGTTTCAAACAATAGATTTTGAAGAAGAAGAAGAAGAAGAAAAAAAAAAGACCTAATTGTACGATTTTGTTGCCTTGATTATTGTCTACAAGATTAAGTATAACTCCAAAAAAAAGTTTTTTTTTTTTTTTTCATACACTATTAAAGTAATCATACTGTTTATCAGTAAAAGTGTCACAAACAAGCCGTATGCAAATAAGAGTATCAGTAAGAATACAAAAGAAAAGAAAAATTAGAGTATAACCTTCCTGGTTCGATAGCGACGTTGTCTTATACAATACGAATATTTTTTTGCGCATTAAAGTTCTTTTACCTTCAAGTAATTTTCATTTTTATTCATGTTTTGTGAACCTTGCATATATACTGGATGAAACGACGAAAAACATCGATGGAACAGAGATATCAACAATGAGAAGAGAGAAGAAAAAAATTTATTAATCTACATTAATAATAATAATAAAGAAAAAAAAAAAAAGTAGAGCATGCCTCTTGCTGGTTTAAGTAAGTGGAATTTTTTTTTTTCTGGCTATCATATCATAATCAACCTTTTTTTTCAAAAACATAAAAATACAATTTGTTAAACTAAAGACATCAGTAACCTCTAGAGAGTGAATTGAAGTAGACAAGTGCAGTTTTACTCTTTTTTTTCAATTAAAAAAAATAACAACAACAACAACAACAACAACACATGTTTCATTAATAAAGACACGTTCAATAAATCTACTTTATTTCGATTCAATCAAATGTATTTGAGAAGAAAACAAAATTTAGATTTTACAATTTCTTCAAGAAAATATTCTCTTAAGGAATATTTTTATCTAATCTAAGAAAGAATCGTTCATTTCAGTCAATTTATACATGTTTATATATCTTCGTTTTCTTTTCCAAAAATAATAAGATGCCTGGATTTTTCTTTTTGTCTGTTGTCGATTCAGGTGGTCGTAGATTCAATAAACGAACAATGTGTGTGTGTGCAAAGGTTAAAAAAATAAATAGGTCGCTTTTGGTTTCTTTTCATTTGTTTTTCTGGGTTTCAAAAAAATATTTGAATTTTGTTGTTCTTCCTTACAACATTACATCTATCACAAAGATTTCGTCTCTTTTTCTCTTCTTCACTTTTCTTTGATTTTTCTTATGTAAATATGATACATAAGGAGAGAGAGAGAGAGAGAGAGAGTAAAATATTAAAAAAAGAAAATTAAATAGATAGACTTTATATTTTTGTTTTCTTCTGTTGGTTTTTTTTTTTTTTGTTGTATATTGAGTTCTTGGTACATTCTGATTTGTAGAGATCAAAGTTTCATGGGAACACGTCAATAATGTAAGTGTCTAGAACTATAGACCCTAAAAACCGCAATAAAACTTAACTTTGACAATATAAAACCATTAATTCTTTTCTTTTTCTTTCGTCACATTTTGCGTTCGGACTTTTATATATTTTTTATTATAATAGTTGATCGTATTTGATTTTATAACTCTATTCAAAGAGCTTTCTATGAATTTTTCTTGCGTGACCAATGAACAAATCGATAATAGTATCATAATCCTCTAAGTTATCAATATAATATATCTTTACCGGATAATATTTATTGTTAGTAGACTGATGAACAATTGTTCACCTGTATGTAATAGAATTTTTAGTTAAAATTTTCTTTTTAATCAGTCAAAAAAAAAGAACAACAACTCTAAACATTGATACTGTTAAAAATTTAAAGGTCAATGTTTTCTCTCTTTCTTGCTTACTTAATAGCGACTTAAAAAGAATCTTACACACACATATTCCTTCAAATATATTGTACGCAAAATGAATAAATAGACCCATAAGTTAAACAGTTCGTGTGCGTAACGTAACATTGTTCTTTATTCGTTTCACTCAAAAGCACTTTAAGTTATACTATTCTTCAAAAGTGGCATTACAAAATGTCATTCAAGCTTCTATCTGTTATTGAACAATTGTTCGTTATATACATATATGAATATGACTTCTATTTTTAAGTTATTGGTATATTATATATAATATGAGATGACCTTTATTCAATTGCAAGATCAACAATAGACAAAAAAAAAAAAAAAAATTATATATATATAAATAAATGAATTGGGATATAATATATACTTACTCTCTTCTGTTGATAACAAGGTGGCAAAAACATTCTTTGAATAAATTTTCAAATGATTTGAATGAATACACTTAAATGTGTAAATTCTGAATAATTTTCTTTTTCAAAAAAAAAAAAAAAAAATCACTTTTTATTTTCTTGATTTGTTGAGCATAATCGATGTTTAGTGACCTTCATATTATCCGCATTTGAAAAAGGATAAGAATAAGAAGTCAATTGTGTTTCATAATGGGATCAGAAACTATATAGAAGAAAAGATTTCTTTTTTTTTTTTTTTTTACCCGATTATAATCTCTACACATAGATCATTTTGATCGTTTGTTTACGTTAGAGTTCCTAAATTGTTTATCATGATTTGGATTATGTTATGTTTTTAATCTCTTTATCTTCTTCTTCTTCTTTTAGTTATCCAAAACAAAAAAAAACAACAAGATATTCACGGTATCTTTAAAAATGAGACAAACGTATTTGTAAAATCCACACATATACAGAGGACATAATAAAATATTATTCTAAATATACAAGAAGATTTTATTTTAAAACGTCATTTATTATTTAAAATGGCCGATATTATTCGTCATCAATATCAAAATGATGAACTTGTACATAAATTACGTTCAATGTTAAATGATTTACCAACATTACGTTCAAGAGCAGTAAAAAAATTAAAACATTGGCGTGAAGCAGCTATTAAACGTTTATTAATGAAACAAAAAGAATTAGAAAAAACATTATTAGATAAATTTGAACGTTTAGAATTTGATACACAATTATTTGTTGAAAAAATTGAACGTAAAAAATCGACAACCGGTTCAAGACGATGGAATTCTGAACCATTAGGTTATGATAATACAAAACAAATTGAACGTATTAGTATTAATTTAAAATCAATTAGAGAAGAATTAGAACAATCAAAATTATTATTAGTTGATGGTATTGATCCAAATAGTTTAGATATTGTTGATAAAATACATACAATGACAATGAGTCAACAATTATTAACAAAACAAATTCAACAACAAAAAAATAATTCAATTATTAATAAACATTCATCAACAACTAGTGGTACACGTTCATATGATATATACGAATTAGGTTCAGAATTAAAACGAGTACTTGATATATGTACAAGTCCACAATCATCAACATCATTATCAGCAGATGAGGTAAGAAATTTTTATATTCATTTATTTTCCCTCTATCTCTTCTTTTTCAAAATTGTATAACAAAAAAAATAGTCGAATTTTTTTTTTTTTTATTGATTATTTATAGAGAATGTTGGTAAGTATTAATATTATCTGTTTACACAGCTACTAAACATTTTTGTTTTTGGTGTAGGAATAGTTTAATTTTTCACAAATGAAATGGTGTTTATAGTCACTAGTAGAAATTAGATAATTAATAATATTAATTGAATTAATAGTGAGGAGTTTTTTGATTACTTTTTGATCAATTGTGTCCTTGAATTAGATTGTCATATTTAACATCATAGATATAATTAGTAGACACTCAATTAAGAATTGTGTTTAATTTTGACGAAAATTAAAAAATTTTCTATTTTTTTTACTTAAAGGCTTCTTTAAAATAAGTAAACTTGATTTGTCGTTAATTATATTCCGATTCATTTTTATTATGACTATAGCAGGTTTTCTTCGAATCGTCCTTGATTATTAGTGTTACCGGTTATTATATAAATAATTTAGAAATGTTTTTGCATAATTTTACAATTTAAAAGTTTTCTTTTTTTCTTTTTTAAAGAGATCTATATGAATGAATTGTTGTTTTATATTCCATCTTGTTTATATTATTATATACAGAATATTACGTACATCTACTATTTTCAATTGTCCAAAATTCGTCAAATTTCTTCTTTTTTTTTTTTCTTTTTTGTCAAGTTTTATAGTAAAGTTCTATATATATATTTTTTAATGTCATTCATCACCTATCATCAATAGAAAATGAAAAAAATACCTTTTAAACATCTATAGATTTACAAATAATTGTAAATTTAGAATATTAATGATTAAAGGAAAGAGAGAAAAGAGAGACAATAATGACAGTGAAATTATCAATACACACACACACACACACACACTGATAAAGAGTGTCAATAATATAAATGAGATAGGATTTGAACAACGATTCATTATAATTATGTATCATCAATAAAAATCAACTTTTAAACATATTCTCGAGAATTCTATTTGATAAAAAATAAAGTTGTTAAGAATAAATTTTCTTTTTTATTGTCGTTAAATATGAACGACATGTATCATTACTATAGATGTGCATAATAGAATAAAAAAAAATAACACGTCTCTATAGAATTATCAAAACAGAGGATATTGAAAAATTGAATTGTTGGTTTTTTTTAAAGATAATTATATGCTGGTGGAATGAATGACTAGGAGTTTTTCAATTGATTGATGAAACGTTTAAGCAGATAAATTTTTTATGATTAATGGTGATATGTCGTATATTTTATTTTTCACTTTTTTTTTCTGCTATTATTTCACATTCACATATTCTGCTTTTGTTTACATATAATTTCATATGAAAATGAGTAGTCATTTATCTATTCTATTAGTTCTAACACACATTTTTTCCAGATTAAATATGGTTTTTTACCACCAAAACCATCGTGTATTATTCATGTTTCAAAAAAACCTAATACTACTAACAATGGCAAAAAATCATTAAAACCTTTAATGATATCAAAAGTCAAACAAAATCATGGTGTCAAGGTTAGTTAGAGTTAGAGTTATATAAAAAAAATTTAGATTTTTTTTTTTTTTTCGTTTCGATCTATTTCATGGTTTTGAAATTGAATATTATAAGCTGAACTTTATTTCTCTTCTCTCTTACAAAGATTAGTTTGTTCACTGTAGTATTATACAGTGAAGGTCTATACAACATACAAAAGTATAATTAATAAAAAATCAACGGATATCTTTATCTATATGTTTGAGTACGCACTTGTACTAGTAGCAATAGTAATAGTATTATTAGTAGTGTAGAAGAATAATATATAGTTTAATATTATCTTTGTCTGATTCTTAAAAATGATATTTTTCAATTCTTACGTAAAATGAATAAGCAAACAAATGTCTCAATTGATTAAACATTTAAATGTTTAAATCAAATTGTGGATATAGGAGAAGTATATTGAACAATATGAATAGAATTCTAATTGAATTTAATCGTAACATATTTTTATCATAAATAGACACATATATACAATGTATATGTAGAAAAAAATTATACGTTTAAATTGATCGAATGAATAAACGGGATAAGCAAGCATACACATGATTACGAACAAATGACGATTACAGAGATTACGGTGATGAAAGGAAAAAAAAAAAGAGTCATTTTGATTATATGAAATTGCGTTCAAATAAGCCGACAAAAAAACAACCGTTAATATTACATGAACTTTTACCAGATAGACAAACGTGCGAAAACATAAAACTGAGCAAAAACATTTTTCTTTTTTAGTATATTCTAACGATCTAACCTAATATGAGTACAATGTAGTAAATTTCGGTCTATTGAGCAATAAACACTAAAAATAAATTTTTTTTTTTCATCAAAACACAAAAAGTTTTGATATATTCAAGCAAGCAACAAATGAATGGGGGATAAGTTTCAAATCAATGAGGAGTAGACTCAGTGGGCTGATTCGATCGGACTATAAATTGAAAAACTAGTCTCGAACGAATAGACAGCATGTCCGTTTGTACTGTCCCAACCATGAGCTGGGACCGGTTCATCTGCCCAATATGCGTTTCTTTTTTCTATACTTAGGCATATATCAACCCAAAGTGTTCTCACTTGCAGTAGACAGTCCAATAATCCCATTTTTTATTACTACATCACCTATAACCAAGTCTTCAAAAATTTGGTTTAAAAATTTTTGTTTTTATCATTGTCTATATGTATCTTGAATCTTAAATGTTGAAAGTTCGTTTGAATCGGTTGTATTGTACGATATGAATAAAAAAAAGTATTTGTACAGGTCTTCTAACCGTTAGTAACAACTTCGTGACAACAAGAAAGATTTAATCTTTGTGTAACTACTAGATATGTACCCAATTTTCAGAATTGAAATTGAAGTCAAGCTTTTAGTACATGTTCAAGCAAGTGTAATTATCATTATTTTCACTATCAGAGAGATTAAGAGAAGTAAATTTTAGCATAGAAATACTTCTTAAATACTGCACATTAAAAAGAAAATCGTACAAAGTATAAATACGTATCTAATAAGTATTAAGTAGATGATTCACAAGTAATGTAACATACTTTGATGTTTGTTTGTTGCGCTAATTTTTTCTAAATTTTTCATCAAATAAGTAGCATGTTGATTAGTTTCATCTCACACTCGTAACATATTAATGATCGAGAATTTAAAGTATCTCCTTCTGTAAAAACAAACAAATGATAAAGATTTAACTAATTATAAAAGATGAATGTGTTCTTACTTTACATTAAGAGATCATTGAAAAAATTTAAAAATGTTTAATGATAAAATGAACCTTTCTAATGTTAATCTTTCTTTTAGCAGTCGCCTCTTCAATCATTAGATAATATTAACAATTCCGAACATTTGTATGATGCAAATATTCGACGAACAACGGCGATCCATGAACCATTTGTTCAACGAGATAATCAATCTCATCAACAAAAACGTTTAGTGAATGGATCACATACATCGACAGATCAACGTCGTGATTCTCAAACATTAATAACCAATGATTCTTCATTATCATCACAGCCTCCACCGCACTCACCTCCCACACAATCATCATCTTCAAATTCATCAATAAATAATGCAAACATAAATAATAATAACAATTGTCATAAATTATTTCAAATTGAATCATTTGATGATTCAATTAGAAGATTTCAACGTTTAAGAGAAATAAGAAAAAATCTTCGTACAAAATACGATGATCAACAACAGGTAAATTAATCTAAACTAGCTTAAAGGAAGTCAACATTTTTCATTTTCGATAAAAAAAAACATTTAATATAAAAAGTATTATCTCAATTAAGTTACATTTTTGCCTATTTCACTAGATAAATCAAATTTCATCCAATTCGATTATTGATGAAAATATTGAACCACAATTTATAGAACAAAAACGATCGATTCCCATTCCTTCATCAAATGAACGATCTAAAACTCAAACAATTAATAATTTTTCATCATCAGCTCCGTCCACTTATCTCATCAATGGTGTTAAAACATTTACAAAAGATCGAAAAACAATAGCATTGGACCATTTAAATGAACCATTAGATATAAATAATAATAATAACAATAAATTAATGACATCACCTACTTCACAAATCCGTCATACATTACTAGCACGTGAACCAATAAGTATTCCAATTGAACGTGTACAATTAATGAGTGGCACAACATTAAATGTTGATCCAGATATTTTAGAATTATATGATAAAGCAACAACAACTAGTATGACTAATGATAGTAAATTTAGTAAATCAAAAATACCAACTAGTGTTAAAAATTATCATAATCAAGCTGAAAATTCTTCTTCTCGAAAAATAACATCATCGGACAATAATTACGATCGTCGACAACGATCAAAAATTGTAGAAAAACAAATTGGTATAGAAGAAACAAATAAACATGATAATTATTTTTCAACTCATAATCATTCTCATAATGATACATCATTTGACAATCAAATATATGGATGTAATACAAATGATGAACAACAACAGCAACATCATAGATCAACGCATACAACAAATCGAAAACATCGATCAGAATCAACAAATAATACTAAAACTACAACGAGTAATCGACATACAAACACAAATCGTTTACAAATTCGACGTTCAAGTGATGATCAAGATGACAATCAAAAAAAAATACAAAGACGGCATACAGATATGGGAGGAGGAGATGGTAAAATTTTATCGAGACATTTACTCAGTTCATGGTATGCTATTGATAAAGAACATTGGACAAATATGTTAGAAAATGGTTGGAGACCAACACATGATCATCAAGGAGTTAAACAAATATCATATCACAATTCAGGTATATATCTATTCGAATGACATTAGAGTTATTGCAACAAAATTAATTAGAAGATAGTAACAGTTTCTGTTGTAGTTTCTTCAAATCTAATTTTTAATTTGATTAACGATTATTAAGTAGTGTCGAAAAAAAATGTTAATTTTAAACAGATTAAAACAAATATTTATTTTGATATACTTTAATCAATATTTAATCATTATATTTTTTTCTTCTTTTAGATGACAGTCGACACCATAATAGTCCACATCAACATCGTCATAATAATAGTCATCGACGTACACAGTCTCCTGATTTCTATGAAAAAGTCTCACGTTTTGAATATACAAATTTATTTGAACAATTAGAATTTACTTATCAACGTACGATAAATTTAGGCAATGAATTTTGGAGATTTCTTGAAATAAGTGGTGATAATCAATTATGTTTATATCATCAATTAAGTAAACAATTAATATTGTATAAACCGGATGAAAGTCTCGTTTCTCTCGTATGGCCTTATGATGGTATTGTTGATATATCTTATTCAAAATCTATGGCACTTTGGTTAATAGCCACACAAACTCAAATATGTTTATGCAATAAAACATTAACAAAAATTTTACAATCAATAGATATTATTGGCGATTGGCCAAAACGTATAACAACATCACATTCATCTATTTTTCATACACATAAAATAACACCTATATCTCAACCATCACCTACTCAATTTTTATTACAACGTTATGATTATAAATTAAACTGTTTAGCTAAACATATTTTAGAATCATCAACTATATGGGATATATCAACTGATGATAATACACAACATTTAGCGATATTATGTGATGTAGCATTACTCATATTTGATTATAATTTAAATTTATTAAGACAAATTGAAGTAACTGGCTTTAAAGTATCCAAAGATCATTTTGGTGGATGGTTAATTGCTGATTATAATGCAAATTGTATATGGCAAATAATGAGAAATGATTATTTAAAACCAAAAAAAATTCTAAACGTTGAACGACCGTGGTCGGTTATATTTGATCGTTTAAATTGGAGATTAGTTACATTAAGTGAAACACAAAATCGTGCAAAACGATTACTCTTCTTTAATATGATAAATATTCCAAATTCATTATTATCGACAACAACGATTACAACCTCTTAATAATGGGAAAAGAATATATTTAACATTCTTTTCATGTTTATTTCGCTTTATATTTCCCTTTCTATACGTGTATTTCTCTAATTTTTAATATAATTATAGAACTAAGGTGCCGCTAATTCGAATTTTCTACATCATTTTATTTTTGACTTAATTATACATCAATCGATAGAGCTTGGCGAGCTGATTAAGAGTATCTACATTTTAGCTTTAAAAAGTAGGTTTTTGAATGAAAAAACTTCAAAATACTAGAAGAGTCTCAAATTTCGAAAAACTCTTCAGTTTCAAAAAAATCCAAATTATGTCGTTTTACATTCTTCTAACCTTTTGAAAATATTTTTTTCGGATTCAGCATTAA